TTGTAACGACAATTTATGCTTGGTCACCAAATTTGCATAAAGTGCTGCTTAGTAACTATAATGTTAAATTACTATTGAGACTGTAGATAAATCAACTATTAAAATTGGATGTGAAAGTATATATATATATATATATACATATTCAGAATAGGTTTCAACACAAGTCTCTGCTTGTATCATTGTTAATTGGTTGTGCTGAACTTTATTCAGAAGATACAGAAAATAGCTATTTACAAGAAACTATTTACCGCTGTCGATATGTATATACCTTTTCAAGACAACGAAAAATGGCAATCTTTACTCTTCGTGTTAATAAATAACTAGTACTTTGTGCTATTTTCAAATCAGAGTAGACATAATTTTACAATTTTCTGTGTCATCAGTCCTCCTGCGAATGCTAAACAATCTCCTCACAGATGAAGAAAAGATGTGAAGGAAACAGAAATGTGGCTCTACATGAAGATGCTGAGAATACCATGGACAGAATATGTGAGAAACGATGAAGTTTTAGAAAAGGTCACTTATACTTAACATCAGAAAGAGAAAGGTTCAGATTTCATGGTCACATAATTAGAAAAGAGCATTTGAAAGATTTGATAGACACAAGACAGGTTATAGTCGAGATGGGCAGAAGAAAACAAAACATAATCTCTCTAACGAGCTTAAGTAAATGGATGTTAGAACAGAGTTTAGAAGAGATAACAACAGAGACAAGGTATATTAAGAGCTACAAAGGATGAAAATAGTGGATAGCCATCATTGCCAACATGTTGAAGGGACAAAAGATATAGAAGATTTGAATCTTCCCTTTTCCAAACTAGAATAGACATATTCTTATAATAGTGTGTGTTCATGTTCTTACAGAGTACCCAATCTCAACCAAAGCGTTTTAAAGTACAGATTATCCAATTTAAACCAAAACGCGGCGACAATGAGAAGTCTCCGTTAACGGCGTTATAGTCATTTTCTAGTAAATGCCAATCTCACATTTATCCTAAACGAGACCCGTAAATTCAAGCAACAAAGCTTTATCTTGCGGCAGTGAAAGTGTTAAGCAATGGCTTATGATACTTACTATCACATGTTATCTTCATATATATATATACGCATAGTTGATCCTAAAATTACGAGAATAGCACAAGTTTTTTTTCTTCTTTTTTTTTCTACTTTTCTAACAAATCATGACATTCATTTCAGTCTCTGGAGCATGCGTGCAAATCTGGTAGATTACGGTTTCATTGTCATGAGAAATGGCGTTTTCTTTCTTTTTGAAAGATAGAATCTTCATTTGCGCTGTAGTAATTAGATTTGGAGATTTTAACACGAAAATATCTGTTAAATAATGCAGCCTACAAACGTCTTTATCAGTTGTTTTCATTGTTGTTCGTTCGTCTGATAACATTTTAAAGTGAATAATTAAGACGACTTGAAGATTCATTGATGTAACCAGACTTTGAATACCTTTCTCCACACATATTTGCAATCGGCGGAACAGATGTGTAGTTTCGCAGTGTTCTTGAAATTTGATGTGTTCAGTTCAGCTTCCACAAGTTTTCTATCTTGTATGAGACCACATTTATCTCTTTCATGGTAATAATCAGTAGAATCCAATTCTAGGATTCTGATTTTTTTTAACTGCTATATCAAATTCTATTGGTTATTTAATACCGAAATCAAAATATTTTGGAACGATTTTATTTATTCAACTAAATATTTTTTTTTAACGCAATTGCATATCTTCAACTACAGATAAAATGTATTTTTGGCCATTTCTTTTTATATAAATATAAAATATATTGCGAGTATTTTGCTATAAGAATGTTTTATATATTTTCATAATGTTTTATTATTCTGTTTTGTTTTTGTTTGGGTTTCACTATTTATCCATGGCTGAGACCCTAACAGGTGCTGCCACCACAAGTAAGCGTGGACCTGGGAACAATATCAATTAAGAGTTAGTTCCAGGCACTCCAAAAATCTTCAATCGTCCGATTAAAGCCCTTGCTGCCTGATGTATTTTATTGTCATACCGAGGACTACATCTTTGTTTTAAATAATACTTACTCTCATCTGTTGCCCAAAAAAAAAGACTTTAATCACTAATCAACATTAATTGATTTGTATTTTAAAGATTATTAACCTATTTTTGCCGGTTATTTAAAGGCAGAAAATATTTTAGATCTTCAGATTGATTTGGAGAATATAATGGTTTTTCTGATATAAGTCCTATTAATTAAAACCTAGCTGGAAAAGTATTGGTGGATTCATACTTTTCCCAAGGATATATTCGCGCAACTAAGTATAACGAACCAAACTAGATTTTGAACTCGGCTCTCGGATTTCCAATTCCGAGTCGTTATCTATTACACCACCCGCACATCCAAGCTTACAGTACCTGGTATTTCCAAGCAGTCACTCATCTTGCTATTGACCAAGTTGGATGTTGCTTAACTTCAGTGAGAGTAAAATTAAGATGATTTTGGTTCTTGATTCAATTATATTTATATCAAATTGTCACGCTTGAAAATGAACATTTTAAAAATTGTTTATCTACATAATATATACTAATATATTATCACAGGTTTGGATTAGCAAAAAAACGAAATAAAAATTACTTACCAGAAAGCAGTAATTGAAATATTATATTGAAAAATACAAACCAGTTATTGTATGTCTGCCAATTAAGAAAACATTTAAATGTGTGTACAATTAAAATAAAGTGCGAAGAATATGTATATTGGCTTTGACTCAGCTCTGAAGAGCGAGAAACCATAACGAACCAGTTGTTAGATGGGCGATGTGCGTATATGAATGCCTTCATCCGCTTTCAAATGGATACCCCACCATCATCCTTTTTGAAATGGATACCCCACCATCATCCTTTTTGAAATGGATACCCCACCATCATCCTTTTTGAAATGGATACCCCACCCTACCACGGCTTGACTTCATTCCGAAGGTGATTGATATGTGGTTATAAATTAACTGTCAGACCCCTTATCAAAATTGTCGCCCAAGCCGTTTCCATAGTAATTAATTTTGCGAGCGAACATGCTTATAAAGATGCGTAAATTTCAAGATTGGTTATTCCTAAATTTTCGCTTGAGGATGAAACAGGGCTTGATACCTTAATTCAATTTAATTTTAAGAAAATAATTATATTGACGGTTTCGGCTCTCGTTTTTGAGACATGACAAATCTTATGTAGCGAAGGAATCATATTTTTTTAAATAATTATAATATACATACATACACATATATATATATATATATATATAAATATATATATATATATATATATATATTTGTCCATATTATATGAATATATACATTTTTAAAGTTTTCGTTTTTTTAAATCTATAACAAGATTTTTTACGCTCAGCTACAAGTTATTCAAATTATATTCTGTCCATCGTCAAACTCAAAATCTTGGCTGTTGCTTGGTCGTCTTATAACAGGAATTTACGCATGGTGACTAAAGTTGTGTACGTTTCCTGTTAGAGAATACATTTTTCTCCCTGCATGTAACCTTAATAAATATTTACCTGCATATAGAATATACTAATATCAACATGTATATGTGAAATCATTGAAACAATAACAATCATAAAATAATAAAATCTTTACCAGTAATGATATTTATAAATTACTGCGGAACGAATAGACTAACAAGCACAATTTATGATCGCTTTCATTGCTTATAAATTACACGGCGATTGTAGAGTTATAGTGAAAGTATGCTTTTGTAAGAAAGACTAGAACAGAAACACATCGTATTACTTTCTTATAGAATCTCTAAAAGGAAAAGAGAAATATGTTGTTAAAAAAAGCAAAGTGTCAGTAACATAATATGCTAGGGACAATGTGATAGAAGGAATTTTTCACATTCTGGATTTATGTGTTGATATTTTTAGGCTTATTTTGTTTAACATCGATGAAGACAAATAAAAATAAATAAATGGCGCAACGCTTTTGCGGAAAGCAACAATGGACAGCACAGAAAACAACTGCTGTTAATTGAATAGTTTTCGGCTACATCAAAGAAAAAAAGACGAATGTTTTGTTGCGATAACCGAAAAGAACACCATTGCATTAAAGCGTATGCGACAAAACAGGCTTTCCTGCTTCTTATTTCTTATTACCAAGCTGGACAAGAACGGTATCTACTGAAACATGGAATTTCTCAGGATTCAAAAGAGTTTTTTTTTTCTGTCGAATAAATTATTTTATTTCAGCGTGTGATTTTGCAAACATTATGGAGAACATGACAGTGTTACTTTAATCCTCAGTGTATTAGACCAGTTGTAGCTCTTCAATCAAATTCATTAATTGCTAAGTTATCTGATTCGCGCGGATCTGCTATCACATTTATCGACAACCATGACTGTTTTAAGTTCAAAATACACTGTAAAATTAAAAAATATCAACCTCAATAATTACAAGTAACAGTACCCTTATAAGCCCAAACTAAAAACAACCGATGTACTATATCTATAAAATTGCCCTGAACAAAAATTCTTCTCAACCGTTAATTTATGTTGGACACAGTCAACAAATCCTTTCTCGAAGGAGTACAAGAACTTTAAGTGATATTAGTGCCATAACAAAAGTATATAGGCCCGCACCTCATCAACAAATTGCACCCATTAAAAAATGCTAGTTGATAACGGCATCATTCTAAAGAAAACAATCTGGCTAAAAAATTACCAATCATAATACAATTCAAGTCAAAATTTATCAATTTTAATACAATTCAAGTACCATTCCTGTCAATCAAGTCAAAATTTATCAATTTTAATATAATTCAAGTCAAACAAGTCAAAATTTATCAATTATTATATCATTCATGTCAAACATTAACCTTACTTTATTTAAGAATGGGTTTGAAGTCTTTCATTTAGACACCACAATACAAACTAAGGCGGCATCTTCTCGTCCAGCTACTACTAATACTACTACTTCTACACACTACTCCCTATACCATGAACATGGATGGCTTATGGCTGTATCACGTTGAAACACCGGTTCTCGTACGATCACCGAAGGTAAGCAGCGTCAAAACTGGTAAGTACCTCGTTGGGCGACCGCTTCGGAATACCTGGTGCAATTCGCTTGCATGTGTGGATAATGAAATGAACAATGGCCCAGAATTGGAAATCGTAGAGCCGAGTTCCGATTTCAGGTATGTTCACTTACGCGCAAATACTCTTGCGAAAGGTATGAATCAAACTCTTCACTTCATTCCTTGTATTAGTAAAAAAATATTACCATTAAAAATTCCTAACAATCTAAAAATATTTTCCTATGGGTTGATATAGGGTATAAAGTAAATCAATAAACGAACATGAAAAAGCATTAACAACGGACGCCTTGAAAATGGGTAACGAATTGGCCGAAAGTGCTTGGCACAATAAATATTACAGTCAGTTTTTTCTCTTCCTTAGTCTTTTTAAAAAGACGAGTGTAAGAATATTAGAAAGAAAATGGATACCAGATGATATCTCTTATATATTCACAAGCGTTATTTAATATATGATGGACATTTCAGTATTTCGTTTTGTTCATTTTTGCAGTGTAATTAAATTAACATTATGAATTCCCCCTTCTCCCCAAGAACATTATTATGCTGTTGTTTTTTTTAAATATCTCTAGTGATGTGTACAGTCTTCTCATAAATGAGTTTTACTTTTCTCCATCTGCTTTTAAATCATTCATAAGTTAATTGTAAGCCAATCCAGAATGATTAACAACACTTAACTACGTATTGAGAATTTCCCTCGAAAAACGCCATCATTATCCAGGTTTTACTTTGTTGCCAAGACTCTCAAGTCGGTATCCTGCAAAAAGTTTTCTTATACTAACGTTAAAGATAACTTAACTATCAGTGCAGACACCATTAGAAATGCCACAGTTCCCTTTCATCATCAATGCAAATACTTCTAAAACTGAATTCATAGGCTTCAATCGCCTTGCATTTAAAGGATTTAAAATGGAAATCAGATTTACCATAAACATCAGGCAGAGCTTTTTTAGGTCACGGTAGAGGCAGTTTTAATGTATACTGTGACTGGTAGGACATTAAATAGAACCCTAGAGTTTAAGCTTCATGGAACCTAAGCTCGAATGTGGAGAGCAATAATTAACAACATCTCTTGGAGATTACACCCAACTAAATCACTGCTCTATGGGCCCATCCCTGATATTTCTACTATCTTACGTGAACACAGAATGCGCTTTATAGGACTCTGCTTGCAAGTGACATCTAGCCATGTTGCAAGACGGGTCCGTCGCCCAGCAACCACCTACATAGACCAGAAATGTTATAACAGTGAATGCCAACTTTCCAACAATGATGCTGGACCGTACTGGTTTGCTTGATAGTCGTGAATATCCGAGCTAGCACGAACGAATAAAAAATCATTGGCTTAAAAGATTGTTCAATCCCAACCGAATACCATCAGGCAAATATTAGTATGTTTTATTTATTTAACTTCTTCATGTATTATACCAGATACTGCTTTGTCTATTACGGATTGATGAGGCTATATAACCCATCATCTTCATCATAGTCCTTCAACTTCTCTCTGGTTGGTCGAAACTGCATTGAAAATCCCTTTCCACACAGGTATTGCTGTCCATAGATCCCCAATGTCCAACCCTGAGTCTCGGGCTATGATGTCTGGGAAAGCCAATTTTGTTGAAAAGGCAATTCCGGAAGGATATAATAGGCGTCAGGCTGAGACAACCTCGCTGTTCTCTCGGCGGCAGTGACCTACAAACTGTAAAATCTTGTGTTTGAGCTAAATATAGCCCGTAGTTGTGGTTTTGAAAACTCCTTGGTGGCCATGTATAAATTGCCTTTACAGGACGATCAAGCGGAAGAGTTGATTGGCGCTTGACGATGATAACATAATTTAAATAATTTATTGTGGATCGTATAAAATACTATTATAGCATTGAAAAAAGGACATTTAAGTATTGTGTATATTCATATAATATATCCTTCTCTTAGACCAGTTGACAACCAAGCTATATGACCCTGCCTGTCATGAAAGGCTATAGGTAAAAATGAGTCGCATTTTGCTTTCATTTTCCAATATTTTTAGTATGGGCGAAATATTCTGGAGTAATAATGGGAATGTAATTTTCAGCGTGAATTTACATTACTGAACTCACAAAAACTACTACCTCTTTATTATACTGCTGTTAGATGCAGTGTATGTTGTTATTCTAATCGTAGCATCGATGGGGTAGAGAAAGCTAGTGAGGATCGAACTCACCATTCAGTTGATCTAGTGAAACAAGCTTGCTAACGATTACACCACGTCGAGGTTGTATACCTTCACTGCATGGCCGTATTTCACAGCTGAATTAAGAAAATAGTTCCTTCAGATACTTTGTAAATGTAAATACTTTAAGGAGGTAATATTTTTTCGTTTAATTTAAACATTATTCCAAACAGGGGATGTTTTCCACATACTTCATATATTCTTTGATTAAAAAAAAAATAATATGCGGAATTTCAGGTTAGCTTCTCCTGAACAAACCTAATTTTGTTTAGGCTATTGTACTGTGCATCTATATTTTACTGGAGTGGTGAAGTGAGGTGAGTGAATGAGTGATATTGATAAATTAACAAATGTACGAGGAGAAAACAGCGTGTAAGTTACTTGAAGAAAAGATAGCCGTAGAAGGAGACAGATTCATGTTAAGGGAACAAAGATATGAGCCTTAGAGCAACAAAACCTGGAAGATTTCGAGGACTATGATCGAACACTTCCTGAAAGATATAGTCTATAAAAGAGCATATCCGTGGAAAAGAAAACGAAGTGCTGCGGTTTGGTAAATTAGATTATGATGGCGATACACAAATTAAATGGAGTTGTACATGTGATCATCTCGAGGGAATTTGTCTGATCAGACCGAGCTATGTAATTAAATCTACGCTGTGAAATGGCGCCTCCATAAGTGTGGATTAATTTGTACATTAATAAGGTTACAAGGTTTTGTTCAGGTTAAGAAAAAGTATGCGATTAACTCGATTGATTAGTTCTATTTAATCAGATCCATTTTCAACATAGGCTAATCGTTTGTACAAGAGAAAACAAATTTAATAAACAAATTGGCAGGCGAGACCTGTTGGTATTTGTTTTTGACTGTTCAGAAGAAATCCGCCTTTAGCAAAGTGTATTATCAGCTGAATACAGAAAGTTCTGTCAAAATCAAATCTATGAATGCAAAATCATATTCCACGAGACTTTTATTTTGTCTTTGCATTAAGTTGCCGACTTACGATGTGTGTTTCCTCGTTCTTAATCCTCCGTGTTTGTAATTGGCCATTTTATTAAAAAATATTATATTATTATAATTATATTATTTGATACATTGGAGTAGAATATTATACTAAAATCTATAGCCATATTTCCTCTGTAAGTTTTGCCTTAATTCCAGATCAGCGACAATTTGTGGCAGATTGCCATCTACACAATACGTAATTGTAGTTTCTATAGCTTGCATACGTTGGTTAAACACTTATGTGTGTCATTTACCAGGGATTTCTTTGTCATAAGTAGAAGAGCACACAGCAATTACCATTTGGGAATATTGGAGAGAATATAATACATATGGTCTAAATATCTCCCCATAGTAAGCAGAAGGAATGGCTGCTGGGTCTTAATGTAATCAATGCGCTATTATGTATATATAATTTTCTTCCTTTGCTGATTCCCGAGCTTATTATTTATAAACACTGTACATAGAATTAAAGCTTGTCCTCTATTGACTCCGAAGAGAGAGTTTGAAAACCGGTTTACCTCGTTTTTTATTATTTTTTATTTATTGTTTTTATTAATTTTCTATTCCCCTGTTTAAGTTGATGTATTGTATTATCCTTGCTCCTCTTCCCCTTGTTTTTTGTCTTATATACTGTTGTAATTTGTTTGCATTTTTAGCAGTAATAAAGACCTGTACCCCCATAGATTGTCTACAATAAGCAAATATTTTCTCAAAATATGTGTGAGTCAAAGTCTGTAGAATTAGGTTTATAATGATTCTCATCACTATATATTTTGTTTGATAGTGAATAACAGGAATGAATTTAAGTAGGAGATAACGATGAAGTTATTGAACAATACTAAGTAAAACTGAAACAGTTGTAAATTAGATGCAAATGATTCATATTGCTCAGAGCAGATAATTACCGGATTTGATGGCATATAAGACGCACCCCAATTTCAGCAGAGAAAATGAAGAAAAATTAGTAAATAGCAACATTAGTCAAATTATAAGTAAAGAGTACAGCCTAGGATATATTTATGAAGTATTATTTTGGCTAAACAAGCCATGATTTGCAATTAAAAGACAAACAATAGGGGAAAAGAACACGAGCCTATAAAAACTTTATTATATCCTTTATATGATCTGTAAAACCCGCGATATAAACGCCTTACTAGAATAATTAGGATATAACAATTCTGATTGTATTTATAGCAATGCAACTGGAAGTTATCGCAAGAAAAATATTAATGAAGCAAATATATTTTATAGATATATAATTTGAATTTATTGCATATAATTTTAGTGAAATAAAGTACTAATATTAAACGTGATTAAATTAATATAATGAATATTATCAATGATAACATTTTTAATCGACATAATAGCCCTTTAAATAATGACAATAGGTATATGAAAGTTTCTCTAAAGTCTAAGCTAATAAGAGTTGCCAGGTAGCTAATTTCGGGCGACAATCACTACATTTAAACCTACATATAGTATATAAGACGCAGGGGAATTTTAAAAGATATTTTTAGTAAAAAAAGTGTACCTTATATGCCGTCAGAAACGGTATATAGCATTATTGGGAATCAAAGTACTGATGTATTTGTTTTATCAAACTTACCTGTGATAACGCCGCTTGTAAAACATTTTCCACTTTATTCACTTGGGATTGTTATTTTTATCTTTATTAGTTATAACGTTGTATAAGATTCTGAATATGAATTTTCACGCAAGTTGAAATTACCGAACTTCTATCCTGACCATATACATAATTTGCATTCCACGAATGTTTTTACTTGGCACTACAAAAACTCATATGTTTAGCTAATAGTTCCAAATATTTATCAACAATATTATTACTCAAAATTTCTTTTTTCGATATTGTTATGGCGAAATAGTGTCAGAAATAATTTAATCGAAAAAAATGAAGGAAAAAATAGAAAAATCTGAGAAAATTATTAAAGAAGAAAGAACGAAAGAAAGTTGTATATTTTGATAGAATAATCTCCGCAACAAAAAAAAAATAAAGAAAAAATGGTGTAAAATATTTCTTCGAATGTATTCTTTAAAAAGATGCCAAAACTTACTTTGGAATAGGAAAGGTACAATCGGTAGCGCTTACGTTATTTCAGGATGTAATATGTGAAAATTCTGAATGGTTTTAAGAATGCACTAGAGTATATTAACTGAAAATGTTGAATATAAAATAAGTTCTTCATTATATGAACTGATTTTGGATTTGAGCTTCATATCTCTTTATAAAACGATGAATGGTTGAATCTCTGTTTGGAATTTTTGAGCAAATTTGCAAAATATTTATTAAATTAAACGAGGAATTGCTTCTATCTTAAATTGCTCAGCTTCATTGCACTCTGAAAATTACTTATCATTTTCAGAAGTGATATTCTGATAAAACGAAATTAAATAAAATACACAGAAAGAAAAACAGGAAAATAAGGAAATAGGATGCAACGCGAAGAGAAGGAATTAGATTATAAGGAAAATAAATAAACAGATGGAATGAATGGAAGTATAAGGATGGAAAAGAAATCAGAAAAAAAAACGAATAAAAATATAAGTACGATTGAAAATCAGAAGGAGGACGTAAAATTACAAAAAATAAGGAATCAGAAAGAAGGAAGAAAAATATGAGGAAAGAAGAATATTGGAAGGAAGTAAAGTAGAATGGATGAAAGAAGTTATAATGAAGGGAAGCATAAAGAAGAAAATAGAACGGATTAACTAATAAAGGATTATAATGATCGAAGAAAAATGATGTGAATAATGAATAAGGAATGAAAGAAAACAGAAAAGATGTAACACAATAGAAGGATCATAGAAAGTGAGACAAAAGTGGAGATAATGATGGTCAAAATGTAAATATATGAAAAGAAAGCAAATAGGTCAACGTTAGAAAAAAAGACATTGAAGAAAAGAAAATACTGAGAAATGAAAAGAGGGTCAAATAACGATGAGAAGGAAACAAAAATGTACGAAAAGTATGAACAAAAATGAAGCAAAAATACGGAAATACAGAAACATGGAAATGAATGAAAATCTGAAAGTAGAAAGATGAAGATAAAAAAAAAATGGAAGAGAAGAGAAGGGATGGTAACAGAGAGTCAAATTAAAGGAATCGGAAGGAAAAAAACAGAGAAATTAGAAAGAAAAAGAACCTCAAAATAAGTAACATATAATAACATATGAAACAGTAAGATATAGACGAGAAGACTCAAACAGGAAGGGAGTGAAGACGAGAAAAAGATAAAAGACTTAGATGAAGGTATAAATGAATGTAAAAGAAAAGATAGCGTGGAATGGGAACAAGAAACAAAGAAATTGCTTAAAAGAAGGAAAAAATAAAACTGAGGAATAGAATAAGAGAAAAGGAAAGGAATAAAAAAGGAAGGATGGGAAATTATGAAATGATTAGGAAAGGAAGACAATAGTAGGAAATAAAAAGGAAAGAAATAAAAAAAGGGAAGAAAAAACTAGTAAAATCAAAAGGAAAAAATACAAGACAATATAAAAGTAGATGAAAAAGAAAAAAATTACATGGAAAATGGAAAAACAGACGGAAGCATAAAAGGAAAGAAACAAAGAAAGAAACAAAGAAACAAAACATAGGTAAAGAATTAACTCTAATGGTGTGCTGTAAAGTTCTTAACCTGGCCCAATTACCTAAATCAGTATAACGATGTTTTATCAATACGATATTGATTCGGTATTGCGAGTTGTGCCATAGACTATTCAGCAACTATTCACCATCTCTGTTGCAATAGAGACAAAAAGATAAAATAGAAAGAAGAAAACAAATAAAAAGAATGAAAATAGAAGGAAATAAATACGAAGGAATTAAATTAGCAGGATGCAATGAGAAAGAAGGAAGACTGAAGGAATTAAAAATGTCGGAGACAAAGAATGAAAGATGAATTTGCATAAAGAGAAAGAATGAAAGAATGAATGAATTGAAAATAAATATAGACAGGAAGCTTGAAGGAGAAGAAAAATAAAACAGTGAAAAAAAATGTATGTTGACGATGAGGAAGAAAACACAGGGAAATAATGAAAACATAAATAAAACAAAGAACAAAAGATTAAAGGTATTACACTAAAAAAATATTAAAAAACAAAGATGGCGAAAATGAGAGGAAACAAAGAAAACAAAAGAGATGATGGGCGAAGAATAAAACAAATATGAAAAAAACAAAGATGATGAAAATGATGGGAAATAAAGAAAACAGAAGTAAAGATGGGAGAAAAATAAAACAAAACAAATGTGAAAAATCAACCATGATGAAAATGAGAGGAAATAAAGAAAACAGAAGTAAAGATGGAAGAAGAATAAAACAAAACAAATGTGAAAAAATGCAAAGATAAGGAAAATAAAAAAAGATTGATTGAAAGTAATAGGATATAAAATAAAAATGAATGAAAGCAGTAGGAAAGCCAGTATCCGGAAAAGGCGATAGTCGGAAAATGGATAAAAATTGCGGAAATGAATGAAATCAGAAGAAAAGAGAGAAAGACTGATAACGAGTAAACCAAATAAAATTAAAATAGAAAAAATCAGAATGTGAGAATGAAATAATGAAGGAAATAACGTATACACAAAGAATAGAATCAGAATAAAAGAAATAACAGTGAAAGAAAGAATACAGCCAGAATAAACGACAAAAGTAAAGAAAATGAAGAAAATAATGAAAATACATTGAAACGAAAAGAAGAAAACAAAGACACAATGTTTGAAAGCAGAAGTATAAAATGAAAATAGAAGTAAAGTCTTCCTTAGACTGTACTTCTATTTTCATTTTATAATTCTGCTTTCAATCATTGTCTTTGTTTTCTTCTTTTCGTTTCATATTTTTTCTTCTTTTCGTTTCATATTTTTTCTTCTTTTCGTTTCAGATTTTTTCTTCTTTTCGTTTCAGATTTTTTCTTCTTTTCGTTTCAGATTTTTTCTTCTTTTCGTTTCAGATTTTTTCTTCTTTTCGTTTCATATTTTTTCTTCTTTTCGTTTCAGATTTTTTCTTCTTTTCGTTTCAGATTTTTTCTTCTTTTCGTTTCAGATTTTTTCTTCTTTTCGTTTCAGATTTATTATTTATATATTTATTTATTTCATATGTTTTCTTCTTTTCTTTTCAGATTTATAAGGGAAATACGAGAATAAGGGGAAAGAATACAGAAGCAAATACAGAGAAGAAAGGAGAAGAAAGAAAGAAAAAAGAAAGGAAAGAACGACGGAAAAACGCAAAAAACTGATAAAAATTAAAGAAAAAGAAAGGTAAAGGTCAAAATAGAGAAATTAAAGTGAAACAGTAAAAATAGAAATATAGAAATACGAGGAAAAGAAACAAGACGAAAGAAAGAAAAACAGAAAGAAAGAGGAGAAAAGTAACGTGAATATGCGAAATTAATGTCCATGTAACGAAAACGAGAAAAAAGAAAGAAAGAAAGAAAGAAAGAAAGAAAGAAAGTCCAAAGATAGAAATTGGGAAGTACAAAAATATATAAAACTAAGAGAAAAATACAAAGCAAAAGAAGGAAGGTGAAAAATGAAAATGAAATGAAAAAAGGATAAAGAAAGGAAAAAATAACGTTCGAAAGAAAGAAAAAAGAAAGAAAGAAAGAAAGAAAGAAAGAAAGAAAAAAAATCAAGCTAAGAAAAAAGCAGTAAGTAAAGAATGAAAAATAAAGGATAGTATGAATGAAAGATTTCATTTATAAAATTATCGTTTGTTAATTTTTTTAAATGTAATATTCTTTCAAAACCTAGGCGCTCATGGCTCTCGATATAAACTTTTCTTTTTTAAATAATAGGAATTGCCACGATTTTTCTTGGGAAAGATATACAGCGAAGTTTCTCATATTTTAATCATCCCCCCAAATAAGTCACTAAGTGTTAACAATAACAGAACAGGAATGAAGAAAACGGGCGATAACGATTAACATTGCATTTAAAGGAAACTGGAAAACGATGAAACATTGCCGTCATCTAGTAGTACGCTTACATACATAAAATCTACATACCAAAGAGGAAACTTCCTCAGAACAATTACCATGAAATTATTTAAACAAACGCCACAGGAAAACTTCGTTGCGGCGTTGGTAAAGGAAAAGACCAGGCCAGGACCAATAATATTGCAAATTCTTCTTTATATTTCATTACGAATCTCTTAATATGTTGCAGAAGCCTCAGATCAGGTGTGACAGCAATAGTAAATACTTGAACGAATGGTACGCTTATAAATGTATAAGACAGATTCTGGCAAGAGAAATTGTCTGGAACGATACAGTGAACCATTTTTCCCAGCAGAAGTTCATTAATTGAGTCAATATACTCTTTCCACTCCATGTCATCGGTAAAATAGCCGAGTAGTTGCAAGGCGTCACTCTCATAGAAATTACCATCATCCATACTCTTGGAAATTAGAAAGGTTTCGCTCAGACAATTAAAAAAAGAAGTTTTCTTTTGGAGGGGTTGACAAGATATTTCTTGCCCCCAGTTAACAACTGATTGTAGGCTATTTTGGAGAACAGCTGCCAATTTGACCTTATCAAACCGATCAGACTTACCAATAATGCAAGAGTAAATAGTCTGTGTCCACAGCATAGTTAGTGATTTCAGAAAAGATTACATCTGTATGGTCTTTTAACAAAATTAGGAAGAATATAGATCCAAGTATAGAGACCTGTGGGAAACATGCATTAATGCAAAATGATCTTCGCGTTTTGATAAGTAATATTGAATCGGGTTAAATACTCGTCCAGAAATACTATAACCTTTGAACTTGTGAAGACACCCTGTCAAACACTTTCGAAACATCCAACAACTGGAGCGTCACCATTCTTATTTAAAGCATGAGAGACTCATATATATAACCGTTATTATATCAGCATTTGACCGAAAGAAACGAAAGCCATATTACTTACCTGAAAGAAGAACCTGCGGGGAAAGATGCTTAACAAATTCTGATTTTGTTAGAGCCTCTAGTATTTTGCCAAATGAGATAGAAGACTAATAGGCTGATAGAAGGACTTGACAATTGAAACTACAGAAGAGGACATCCAAGAAACACAAAAGTAAGAAGCAGGGTACTTTTATTATAGTTTTAGAGATAACAGGATTCAGTTCATGTGCACATTTCTTAAGGACTATTGCAGGGATAACATCAAGTCCATATGTTCTGTGGGGATCAAGTTTAGAGATGAAAACAGAAACTATGAACGAAGTTATATGCATATCATAGAATAGAGACACAGTTCTAATTGGAAAGCCAGGCAAAGATACACCAATGGAATCAAGAATAGAATCTGAAAATAATTTACGAGCAAATAATTGTGCTTTATCAGCATATGCTAAAACTTCGGATTGTGTGAAGAGAGGAGGGATAGAAGAATCATTTATCACACTGAATATTAGTAGCATTATAATTGTTTAGCGACTTGATATGATGAACATTAAAATCACCCAAACATAAAAATGTTCACAGATGAATGTAGAGAGAGAAAGAGAGAAAGATAGAAAGAAAGAGAGAGAGAGAGACATTTCTATACACTCAGATATTTTTGTCTAATATGTTACAGTCCTTAAAGTAAGGGTAAGCGACAAAGGAAAGAGTTAGCTTACCGAGTGCAGTAACAATGTCGAAAGCACTTAAAATAATCCGGGAAATCAATAGACAATTACATTTCCATTGGAAGATTTTCACTATGCAAAAACCAAGTCTTTGAAAATGACTTTTAGAATCTTTTCGAAAATAAACATCACCTGGAACAGAAAATTCATTGGTAGCGATAGAAGAATCTAAATAATTTTCGCAAAGTGCTAAACTATCTGGAAAATTTTACAAGAGAATATATTATACACTACAGAAATTAGTATTAATTTTACAAATATTTAAGACTGAAATGAGGTGGGTATATGATTTTACTGCTTATTGCATAACTGGTATTTATTTTAATTGTAACTGTCATAAGATCATGTTTAAAGGAGAAAAAGGTTAAAATAATTATCAATGTCCTTAGTCTATTGCAATACAAACTGGCCATAATGTAGCCCCGGCGTTAACTGCCAATGGTACATGCAGGGACACTTATCCATTAGTGATATGACACAGTAAATATCACAATATTATTCGACTGTTGAACAGAACAGCTTCTCAAAGTGCTATCAAAAAGATTGGCTACTTACTACCAGTCGGGATGAAGCAATGAGAAAACTGCCAAACGGTAACCATATATTGAAATGTCACAGCTATTGATCAATAAGATCACCAAAAATCATTATGATCATGGATGAAAGAACCGGAAGCAGGAAATAAGGAATAAACATCTACTCCTGTTCAATAAACAAGAATGTGTACTGACCGAACGATAGGCGATCATATATACTCCTATTAACCTGTTAATAGTACCGGTGTTTGGGGGCATTTATCGAAACAGCATCTATAGGAAGGTTGCCGATTCAGGCTCTAGACTCCTTGAAGGTCAAAGAGGAATTATTATTAAATAATGTTACCTATCTGAAGCTTACCAGAGGACATGAAATCAAAGGAATATTAGCATAAAGATTAAGCGCATACAAGGACGCGCATAAAAACTTATATATTTTACACTGAATATTGAACTATAGTGTTAAGTAAAAGATAATTAATATATACTTATCACTTCCCTTTTATTAAAAAAAAAACATCGCTTATTTGAACAAGCAAAAAGAAAAACACGTCCATTCACTACGACATCCAGCATTCTAATTATAATTTACACTGTTTTGAATTCAAAGTATTCATTGTGGCTGTCACCAAAATTTTATATAGACCAGTCTGCTCTATGGTTTAACCGAAATCAAAAGAGGTAGATGGGGTCATTTTTTTTTTCAAGAGCATTTTTGCGAAAGTGAATGCATGAGGTGAGGACAGAATTTGAACACAGCTCGCTGATTTTCATTCAGCTCTGATAACCCTTACGCTGCCCGTTTTTAGTAAAAAAAAAAACAATGATCAAGGAAAGGAATTCAGGAAATTGAACGCGAAATAAGAAAAGAAAAAAAATGGCACCCAAATAACGAAGGCAAAATCAAAACAAACTTAGCTAAAAACAGTACAGACAATGCAAACGAGATGATTAATATAAAGATGATACAATGAATTAGAAGAAAAGCTGCAAAAAGCAAAATGAAAGAAAAAAAAAATAAAGACAAAAAATATGAAATAATAACAAAAATATGAAATAATAACAAAATATAAATCATATAAAAGTCAATTTAAAAACTCAAATCCTAACGGACATTTCAAATTAACTTAATTGAAATGAAGACATTCTACAAAAAAAAAAAACGTCCTGTTCTTTTGATACTTCACAATAAACATTATGCGAATGATGAATAATGAATTTCGCCTTTAACGTTTCTTATGAATATTTGGATGGATAGAGTGATGTGTTTTTTAACGTTTTATCAATCATTTGTAGGTTGTTTAAAGACGAAAAATGTTTTTGGGTTATAAGAAAATTTCATGATTTTTTTTGTAAGGGAACATGGTATTAACAATTCATTGATAATAACAATGATTTTCCATATATGCCCTACTATTTAATCCATATCTGGAAGAGGGAAATGAAATTATACATTTCCCAAGTGTATTGGCGAATATGCGAATGTAACGCACCTGACCGTAGTTCGAACTCACCATTCGGATTTCACATACCAAAGCCTCTATTTTTACTCTAACTGTACATGCACGATTATTTAATACTAAACACAAACGCTTAATAATGACTAGAACTTACTCGTATGCATGGAAACAGGATAACTAGTAATGTACAGCTTGAAAATTTTAAATAGCTGATATGCTTATGTTATTTTGTTTTCAAATTTTAGGACGTTTGATTATGGAAATGGCAATTGTAATGTGAGCCGTTTTCTTATAATGAAACATTCGAGATTCATTGAAAACAGCGTGTCCTGCCGTTAGCTGAAATTTATAAAAGGTACTAAAACAATATTTCTGAAATATAGTTTTCTCAAATTCACTAAATTTTATAGCTCTTTCCAGTATTGATTGAGGCATCATTCTAAAACTTTGTTTTCAGGTTATATGGAATATCAATATCTTATACCAATATTTTCTCATCAAGTTACATGTGCTATCCATTTTAGTTGTTGCTGCTGTTGGAATTGTGATGCGTTTTCTGTTATTTAGTACATTTCTTTGTTTATGATTCTTTGGTGCCAGTCCACAATACCCGAAGGAGGATGGAACTCTCAACGACATGCAAAGTTGATTCTGTCAAAGCAATATTAAAGAATTGTTCTGAGAAACCGGCTGGCTGCAGATGACAATTTAGACATTCTTTAATTAATTTGACGGTATCCTTGGCATCCATATTAATGTCTCGGCTATACGAGGCTTTTTAAGAATATTATTCATTATTTTTAGGTTAATGTTTTGGTTTTATAGTAATCTTTGGTGTTGAGTGAAACTACACATTGCATAGATTATCATATATTTAAATCCCTTATATCCTATAGTAAATTTAACTGATCCATACAACTAGGTAATTGAAATGTTTAGTATTAACCTAGCCTAGATTCTGAAATTTTATGAAGTATTATGGGTAAGTGACATCACAGCTTTCATTCATAATTTAATTTAATCGAAAAGTTTATTCTGAGTATTATTTATTGAAACACTTTGTAGAGGATGTTCATATTTTGTTCA